GTTCGGTTCGATACTTTGGTGTCACGGTTCCTACAAACACAGATGATCATTTAGGTTACTATAAATCACTGAGAGGAAACATTAAAATCTAAATGTTTTATCATAGTCAATGATATGATAAACAATGAAATATAATAGTTCAAATAAAAGTAGAATAGTTAAAATGAAAGTAAAAAATATAAATCTATGCTAAACTTAAACTAAGTTGGAACCTATTTTTAGTCTTTAACCAAATTCAAGTAAAAATCGGAATCATTTTTGACGATACATTATGGTGGAAAGAAGGAGAAAATTTATGAAAAATCTTAAAAACCGTCTGTCTAACAATCATAAAAATTAAGCTAATGAAAGTGTTTATTAGTAATAAAAACAAATGTAGAATCCTGACCTGAGTGTTTCTAGTTTACAGTGAAGACTTCCTAATCCAGAAGACAACACTTTCACTCCTGATTTTGCCAGGTCATTGTTACTCAAGTCCAGCTCAATTAGACTACAGAACTGGGAACTGAGAATGGAGGATATAATTTCACAGCTTCTCTGTGATAGGTCACAGCCACTCAGTCTGGAAAGACAACAAAGCACCAAAAAATAAAAGATAATTCTTGTACATGCAAAGTCTTTACTGGCCTACTCTGAATAAATAAAGTGCTTAAAATGAAATGCTTAACTCTTTCCAGTAAATGTATATATGAGTTTGTTAGTCTCATCAAGTTGTCTTATCACCAGAGTTTATAGATCTTAATAATAAAAAAACATGAATATACATCTGTAAAACATCAAACATCAAATTCAAAGTCTGGGAAGTTTTCTTTTTAAATATCTACTAATTACCTTCTCACATCAAATTGCAAAATACATTATCTGACCTGATAGTTTTCAGTGTAATGTGTGGATGCTTCAGTCCAGCAGATATCAACTTCACTCCTGAGTCCCGCAGGTTGTTGTTACTCAGATCTATAGCTGTCAATTCACAGTCCTCCATTTTAAGCACAGAGGACAGAGCTTCACAGCTTCTTTCTGACAGGTTACAGCTATTTAGCCTGAAGATACAGTAATATAAAATTAAGCAGTGATGGATGTGTTTGTCATTCCTGTTAAAGGGAGAGAAGGATCTTTAAATCTTTAAATCTTTATAACTTACAGAGCTTTTTGAGAAGCTTTGACCACTGGCAGCAGCCTCAGAAGAGCATCCTCTGAAGCAGAATATTTCTTCAAGTCAAAAACCTCAAGGTCTTCTTCTGACGACAGTAAGATGAAGACCAGAGCTGACCACTGAGCAGGAGACAGCTCATCTGTGGAGAATTGTTCTGAACTCAAAGACTGTTGGATCTTCTCCACTATGGCACGATCATTCAGCTCATTTAGACAGTGGAACAGGTTGATGCTTTTCTCTACAGACAGATTCTCATTGAGCTTCTTCTTGATGTACTGGACAGTTTCCTGATTGATCTGTGAGCCATTTTCTGTCTGTGTCAGAAGACCTTGTAGGAGGGTCTGATTGGACTGCAGTGAAAGACCCAGGAGGAAGCGAAGCAACAAGTCCAGTAATCCATTTGGACTCTGTAAGGCCTTTTTGACAGCACTCTCATAGAATTGAGACCCTGTATGTTGTCTTGTTTCAAAGTTCCTGGAGGTGTTTTGTTCCTCTTCCAGCAGATTGACTCCAGTGTTGATGAAGGTCAGATGGACATGAAGAGCAGCCAGAAACTCCTGAACACTCAGATGGATGAAGCAGAACACCTTGTCCTGGTACAGTCCTCTCTCCTCTTTAAATATCTGTGTGAACACTCCTGAGTACACTGAGGCTGCTGTGATATCGATGCCACACTCTGTCAGGTCTGATTCATAGAAGATCAGGTTGTCTTTCTGCAGCTGATCAAAAGCCAGTTTTCCCAGAGACTCAACCATCTTCCTGCTCTCTGGACTCCAGTGTGGATCTGTCTCAGCTCCTCCATCATACTTGAACTTCTTCACTTTTGTCTGAACCACCAGGAAGTGGATGTACATATCAGTCAAGGTCTTTGGCAGCTGTCCTCCCTCTCTGGTTTTCAGCACATCCTCCAGAACTGTAGCAGTGATCCAGCAGAAGACTGGGATGTGGCACATGATGTGGAGGCTTCGTGATGTCTTGATGTGGGAGATGATCCTGCTGGCCTGCTTCTCATCTCTAGATCTCTTCCTGAAGTACTCCTCCTTCTGTGGGTCAGTGAACCCCCTGACCTCTGTCAGAATGTCCACACACTCAGCAGGGATCTGATTGGCTGCTGCAGGTCGTGTGGTTATCCAGAGCTGAGCAGAGGGAAGCAGGTTCCCCTTGATGAGGTTTATCAGCAGCGCATCCACTGAGGTGGACTTTCTAGGGTCAGTTATGAGCTCAGTGTTGTGGAAATCCAGAGGAAGTCGGCACTCATCCAGACCATCAAAGATAAACAAAACCTGGAAGTCCTCAAAGCTGCAGATTCTTACTTCTCTGATTTCACTAAAGAAGAGATTAACAAGTTCCACCAAACTAAACTTGTTCTCTTTAAGGACATTCAGTTCTCTGAATGCAAATGGAAATATGAACTGAAAGTTCTGGTTACCTTTTTTTTCAGCCCAGTCTAGCGTGAACTTCTGTGTTAAGACTGTTTTCCCAATGCCAGCCACTCCCTTTGTCAGGACTGTTCTGATTGGTTTATCTCTTCCAGGTGGGGCTTTAAAGATGTCTTCTTGTCTAATTGTTGTTTCTTTTTTGTGTAGTCTCCTGGATGCTGTTTCAATCTGTCTGATCTCATGTTTGGCATTCACATTTCCAGTCCCTCCCTCTGTGATGTAGAGCTCTGTGTAGATCTGATTGAGAAGGGTTGGATTTCCTGTTTTAGCGATCCCCTCAAACACACACCCAAATTTCTTTTTTAGGTGAGATTTAAGTTCATATTGATAACGTCGAGCAAAGATTTCTGAAAACATAAAATAAATAACCCAAATACATGAATTATTATATAGTCAACATCTCATTCCTCTAAAGAGTGAACATATATGTTTGTCTAGCTCTTGAGATATTTGTTGCATTTATCCAGCAGCTGCGGTCTTAAGAAAAATCCTCTTACTGTTTTGCAGACTATCAGCAAGTTCCTCTTGCTTAATTTTCCTCAGGAAGTGCAGTGTAATCTTCACAAAAGCCTCTCTGCTGTTTTCCCTCTGCTCTTTAACCTCAGCCTCCAGCATCTCTTCATCCTTGCTCTGACTTTCTAAGTATTCTGGAAAATCTGCATGTAAAACCTTCTGTAGCTCCTTCAGTTGTTTCTTCACAAAAGAGATGATGTTGTCCTCCACGAGCTGGAACAAAATACCACACGAATGATACAATAAATTGAAATAATTGAGCCAAACATTAGATCCATGTTGTACACACTAACAATCCGCTGGTCTGCAAAATGCAGCATGGAGATGACTGTGAACAAAATATATGTAAAACTGGTTATACATGTACAGACCATAAATATTGACTCCAAGTGTGTTTGACACAGATGTGCAGATTGCCCACTGGGTACCTCTGAGCTCTCCTGGTCCAAGCTATGGAGGAATCAAAATAAACCTATCACATAGGTAACAAAAATTCTACGAGTGGCCAAATCAATAATCTGATATATATTTTTAAAGAGAAAGAATTCAATCACCACTTAAGCATTATCAAAAGAAAACAACACTGAATCTAACAAAGTCAAGAACACTCTTAAAGAGGTAGGAGTATAATTGGCACTCCCAAGCCCAATCTAGGCCAAATCAAACATGTGGTCATCAAGAATGTGATTTCTATACCGGACTGGTCAGGACCTGGGTTAACAAACAACTGCGTATTAACAGGGTGACAGTAGAAACTGCCAGTATTGGCTAAAGGCAAAAAAGGAGGAGAAGGGAAAGGCATGTTCAAATCCAGTGAGGGAGAAGGAAAGTAACAATATGGGCTTTAAATGGTGGGCCACCATTGGTAAACAAAGCAAATTGGTTGAGCGAAAGAAGGGACATAGAAATGTTGTTGTTTGTGGAAGGACAGCAAGGCCAGGGGCGTTGGAGGTGGATTCAAACTGTTGTTCAAAGGTGTAGATATGAAACATAATGAAGTAGGAGGAAGGAAAAGTATGTGAATAGTGCTGTGTAGGTCAAAAGAATGTCAGACAGGATCTAAGGAGCTTGGAAAGAAAAAGGTCATGAGTTTAACACCAATAATCAACGGGTGATGTTGAGTGTTTTTAGTGGGCATGCCCAACAGGTTGTTCCGAAATGTCATTCGGAAGAGAAACACAAATTATGAAGTAAGCTAGGTGAAATGCAGCAAAACAAAAATTAACAAAATTTATTTGTTTTCTATATCTTAACAAAGTCAACATGCTTCTGCTTACTTTACAGAATTAGCCTGTTCATCTTTAAAATCAGTAGGCTGTTTCCTTGAATTATTGCTCTTAAAGGAGACATTGCTGGATTCATCTTTATATTCATGTCCACGTGCGTCTGGTCTTTGATGAATCCTGACAGAAGAAAAGTTATTAAATTCCGCAAATGTTTCCTTGCACATAAAACCTTAAAATGTGTATTTGAAGTTCAAATCAGTTAATACCAATAACAACTTACATTTTACCAAAGGAACTTTTTTGTCTGAAATTAATCACAACTTCCTTTGAATCACTGCTTTTTAAGGATAAACAGCTGGGTTCAGGTCCAGGTTGGTTCCTGTGAATAATGATGGAGCAGTGATGTGAGTGCTGAGCTGTGACATGGAGAAGAGTCATGGACAGTTAGAGATGGTCATCTCACCTCTGAGCTTTGGTCTGGCTCTCATGTTCCCCACACAGAGTGGTTTTAGAGGGAGGGGCTCCCTCCTCTCTGTCCTCACACTGATCCATGCTGCTGAATTGACGTCAGCTCACACACACTTTCTACCTTCACCTTCCGAGGAAACACAAATCATTCATGTGCACATCAACTGAAATCCTCCTTTCCATCATGTGTGCTGGCCAAATATCAGCTGCTTCTTTCCTGCTTCATCTCAGTGTCAGCTGAATGCAGTCAGACAGCAGTGTGAGGCAGAGGAAGCTGCCATCAGCTGCTCTACTTCTACTATCAGTCCACTAGATGGAGTCATGAAGAACACACTGAAATACACTGAGTCACTGTAACTGGAAGCTTCAGTTCATTAATAATCACTCAGTTTAACACATCTAAACAGGATTTTAAAACAATTTGGATGATCCATAATTCAGAGAGGATCAGTAGTATTTAAGGTAAAGTGAAGAAGTGGATATTACTGTTTGAATATGTGATGATTATAATTATTGTGAGTACAAGAAAACAATGATTAGAATAAAATGGGCTCAAGTTTGTTTAGATGACAGGGTGCAGCTGTAGATCACAAGAATAGGACAGGATTTGTGAATGTGTGTGTTTTAGGTTGGTTTAGCTATAAGCCTGGGTGTGTGTAACTGTAGAGAGAGAAGAATTTATTGACAGTGGGGGTCTGCCTGACATAAAACGAAATAGGAAGCCACAGTTGGAGGGTGTTAGAAATGTGTGGAACAGCTAGAAAAGAGAGAAGTAGTTCGTTGCCCTTCAGCCTGAGATGCAGAGAGTACATCATACCCCCACACATCCTGTTTATAGGGTGCCTGAGCATTGGTGTTACACACAGACACGCACACTCACACACATATAGTGCTATGTATATTCATATATCATCATTTAGGAAAGTTGTTTTGAATATTGTAGATGACCATTAGAAATAAACACCAAGTCTAAATGTAAGGACCTGCTGGACTGTCCCTCAGATCTGCTTCTAGGTTGAAAGATCTCCCTCCGCGCAGAGCATCAGGGTGTTTGTAACTTCAGAGTGGTTTTTTTAGCTGGGTGATAAAAGGACCAGCAGTATAGAGTGAAGATTACAACATTATCTACCCAATGTACGAGTTTTAGTTTAAAATTTTATAAATCATGGTAAACTAAGGTTCACAGGTGTTTCTCTAAATTGTGTTTTTATATTAAGTAACAATTCTTTTATCTTTTGCCTGAACATATGGATAATGTGTAACAACATTTTGTTGTTACACATTAGACCAATGACATCAGTATTTGCAGAAATATATGGAGGTGACTGACAAGTTTCCATGTTACCATGGCAACGTGTTTCACTTCCTTTGGTTGCATTTGTATCTGTCAGAAAAAAAGAGAAGAGAGAAGACAGGAAACTGCTGCCAGCAGCATCTTTGCAATGTGGTTTGCATTTTTACCATGTGACATCACATGTCTAGGATGAGTTTTAGTATAACAGGCTGACACGGGAGAAATCAGTGTCAGCTTTGTGCATTCATCCCAGTCTTTGCTGTTTCTTCTGTGATATATGCAAGCTTACATACATACATATATACATTATATGTTTAATATTTTTTGCTTCAATGTAATAAAAAATTAAATAACTTCTTTTTGACCTATGGAACAAAAGTCTTTACTGCCAGATGTAGCAGGTGTAACTCCTCAGTAACAACCCACCAGGCTGGGCAATGAGTACACAGTGACAGTCAGAAAACTAGACCCTTTAATGGTAATACATACAAATTATTATTAGTTATTATCATTATTATCAAATTATTATTATTAAGCTTTAAAATGTTGGAGCAGGATCAAATAAAGTCCATTATAAATGTGTACTACTCAAAGAAATAATTAAAGCGTTCTGTTAATAGAGCAGGAGCGGGAATGGTTTTACAGGTGGAGGGCACTAACATTTTTCCCTCTTCATCTTTTCTGTCTGTCTTGTCATTAGTTTTGCTTTGGCTAAGGTCATTGTCCCTACTGGCACCAAGAGGTGACACCAGAACGTTTGCTGTAAAGTCTCAAGAGCATCAAGGAGATTCCAGGAGACAGTCACTCTGGTAGAGCTGGACGGGGCCATAAAAGGTCCTGAGCCATCAGCAGTATCTGTTCTTTTGTGCAAGGAGGAACAGGATGAGCACTGTCAGAGCCTTACAAAACAACCTCCAGCAGTCCACTGGTGTAAATGACCGAACAATTAGAAACAGGCTTCACGAAGATGAAGATCCTGTGGTGAAGGTCGAGATGCTCTACTGGGCCCTGTACTCACTGCCCAGCACCACAGCACCAGCCTGATTGTCATTTGCTGTGGAGTACTAGAATTAGCAGGTCCACCACTGGCACCCTGTTTTTTTTACAGATGAGAGCAGGGTTACCCTGAGCATGTGGGACAGCTGTGAAAGGCTCTAAAAAAACCAGTGGAGAACGTCATGCTGCCTGTAACATGTCAGCATGTCCGGTTTTGTGTTGGGTCAGTGATGGTCCGAGGACACAAATTGATGGAGGGATACACAGACTTCTACAGGCTGGGCAACTACACCCTGACTGCCATTAGGTATCAGGATGAAATCCCCAGACCCATGTCCTACCTGACAGTGGTGGAGAGGGTCCTGGGTTCCTCCTGATGAAAAATGTGGCGAGAGTATGCAGGCAGTTCCTGCAGGATGAAGGAACTGACAGCAGAAAGCTTGCCTAACCTAAATCCAACAGAACAACTCTGGGACATTATATTTGAGTCCATCTGATGCCACCACGTTTTTCCCTCAGACTGCTGAGAAGGTCAGCGATGCCCTTCTCCAGATCTGTGATAAGATCCATCTGTACACCCTCCACCCTCTTGTCAGGAACACACCCAGACATTGTCAGGCTTGCATACAAGCACATGACGTCCATACAGACGACTGAATACCATTTTGGGTTGGTGCCATTAAATTTCATCAAAATGGACTCAGAAAATTTTTCACTTTGGTTTTCTGAGCATCTTTGAATTCATTAGGTTTATTATTTTCATTCCCATCAAACGACATGGCCTCTTTTCATTCCGACCACATTACCCATTCAATATCAGTACAAATATCCACTGTGTCCTTTTTCCCCACTGACATCTGATGTGTTTTCAAAGTGTTCATTTTTTGAGCAGTTACATGTTCAATCTGTTCTAGGAAGAAATCAGTAGAAATACACAAATAAAATGTCAACTATACATGATTATATCATTTCTCCAATAAACAGAAATGTTGAGCTCTTAATAATTAGGAAAAAAAACCCTTAAAGGTAGGTGTGGTGGAAGACACCAAAATGAAAGCATCGCTCTCATCTTAACAAGTGTTCTCAGACAAATGTAGTAAAAGTAAAAATACTGTTCATTTGGAGCAGCTCCTGTCTATAGTTTAATCATTGAATTGAAGTAACTGTAACGGTGGGAATATCTCAAGCAGAAAAAAAGAAGTATTCAAAGTTACTCGAAGAGAGCAGTGAAGAAAAAATATTGAGTTAACTTTCAGGTCCAGGAGAAGATCAAATTTGTAAAGCCAGTTTCAAAATAAAAGACAAATCCTCACGGTGAAAATATTTAAATAGGAATTCAAATATAGTTAATAAGTAGGTAAGTTCCTTGGCTCACATACAAAGAAGCGCACACAGATAAAATTGTGGCTGACACATTTACCTGCTGGCCTCCTTCATTCACTCTGAGTCTGTCACTGTGAGCTATGAGCGGCAGAGTTGTGCTGGAACTAAACGGCACACAGCTGATGTGATCCAGGAAAACATTACAGACCGCCTCACTCACCTTCACACGGAGCTTCATATGGAAACGATCATCTGATACGAAATACAGGAAAGTGAAATGAAACTTCAATGAGGAAGGAAACACTCAGAGATGCGTTTAAGGCCAATCAGAATCGACAAAATCAACATCTGATCACCTTATAGTTTTAATCTTTTTGGGGAGAGAAATTGACGCATATATCAATGTTTGTCTTACGGTGTAATTTTTTGTCACTTAAACGTCAAACACACAGGCCTATTTTTTTTTAATTTGAAGGATTAAGCTCTTGGTTTCTTCAATGCTTAAAACATTTATTTTTTGAAGTCTGACAGTTTACTGTTGTTTTGTGTGAGCTGCATCCTTGATTAAGTTCTGAACTGAAGTTGAGTTTTTGGGGAGCAGCAAAGCTTCACAGGGAGCAAAATAAATGCAGAACGTCCTACATATTTAATGAAAGCCAGTCATTTATATCAGAATGTAGTTCAAAGTTTTACCAGCAGAGAGCGACAACTCCCCAATTTATGTCAAACTCGTTCACAGTTGATATTAGTTTTACTAGAGCTTCAGTGAAAGTTCATCGTATTTTAAACAGATAACTGAGAGAGAGTTCCTCTGACGATGAAACAGTAATGCGCCATTTGTGGTGTTGCAGAGCTGTGGGACTGTACTTGTGGTCATTATGGGACGATTCCTCTGGTTTGAGCAAAAAGATTTTAACGCTGGAAATCCATCAGCTCACTTTAACAGACAGCAGCTCGATTTACTAACAGTCCGCACCAGAGAAACAAACATGTTCAGGCATTAAAAAACTATGGCTGGAATTTTCAAGTGGTGTAGTGTCATTTTTGTGACAGAGGCATGGTCACAGCAAGTCTTTTTATGGCAGACCTATAATGTATTTCACATTTTACATTAATAATAATATTTGTGGCATGCAGTAAATTTAACACTGGGATTTGTGATGGTCTGAGTGTTTACCTGGATTCAGGGGGAAAGGTCAGAAAAATATAAATGGGATGGGTGTACGACTCAAAGATGTGAGTGTAGTGCTAAAACTTTGTCTCTGTCCTGCAACTCTTCACAAAAGGGATTCTTTTCTCAGCAGTGCACACAGAGTGATTTTCATATAGTTTATCCCCCCCCCATCAGAGTTATGCAGACCATATTGAAATGCAACTGTTAATACGACTGTGGCAGATTTTAAGAAGAACCTGTGGCCTCACACAGCCTACAGGGAAAAAAAGAGCAAAACCCTTGTTTACCTACATTACACAGCATCAGTATGTTCATTAACATACAGAGTTTCAAACATGAAGACCACATGTTCTGGTGAACTGTTTAAAAACATCAACAAAAACACTTTTGCTGTAGCCTATAGATTTAAATCTCTTTATATTCCATTACAGATGCTACTGTTACTTACCCCAAACATTAGGCACTGTTATGCATAACTATCATCTACTACTGTTACTATTACTACTGTAAAATAAAATAAAAAAGGCAGTATAATAAACAAACAAACAAGATGAGAGACAAATAAAACTATATGTATTAACAGTGTATAAACAAATTTCATAAAGACAAAATAGTCTTTAGCCCAGAATTGTGAAATTATTTTCTTACAGCATTAAAACTAATTAAATTAAAATAAATACAAAATGAAGGTAAACACAACAAACATAAACAGAGCAGTGTACCTGGTTTGAAAGTTGACCTTTTCCAAGATTTTAAAGTCTAAAAGACGCTTATTATTATAATGTCTTTACATTACAATATAAATATATAATATAGGCAGCTGTTGTTGTGATTTGGCACTATATAAATAAAAGTGAAATGAAAAGTTCAGTGACACTCATCTCACTCTGGGTTTTTGTTCAAACTTGGTTCTGTCAGTTTTCATTCCAAAATCATATTTCACAATCTTCATCAGTTTTAAGGTTAAACAGTATTAATGGAATCAGTGAGTTTTCTGTCCATGCTTCTGGTCTACAGTGTGCACAGAAAGGCTGATGAGTTCAACTTCACCCCATAACCAAACCCAGGATAAAGAGTTTCAGTGAAAGTGGTGTTGAAGGTGTGGAGGTGGATCAGAGTGTCAGAGGAGACTCTGTAGAAGGACAGAGTGCCAGCAGGACAGTCCACATACACTGCTACTCTGTGAGAAACATTAGATAATGACGTTACTGTAATGGGAGTCCCGCTGTTGTTGTGCCAGGCGCTATACCCTCCATCAGTGCAGGTCAGACACCAGGACTGCTCATTGCCTCCAAATTTTGAGGCATCAATATCTCCGTTCCTTCCGATCCCTCTGTAGCTTACTGCAATATAAACCTTTCCAACCCACTCGACCTCCCAGTAACAGCGACCAGTCACACCATTTTCACACAGCACCTGAGGCCAGTAATCAAATCTCTCTGGGTGGTCAGGATACAGGTGCTCCTTTCTCAGGTCTGTCACTTTTTTGTTGCTTTCGGATAATTTGAGGAATTTGTGAGCTGTGTTTGGGTCCAGCGTGAATTCACAGAAATCTACCAAAAAGAGCATAAAAATCTTTGGTTAATATTGTCTAAAGTTTCCTGTTTTTCATGGGTATCTATGTTTAAACTGCATTAAGTTGATTTTTGGCTAAGTCTATTTTTTTTAGTAAGTGATGTTTCCATCTGGGGTAAAACTACCTCCTCCAGTGTGTTGTAGCCTGCCACTGGGGACGTTTGAGGACATGTTGGTGGACTCATATTTGATATGACATGAGAAAATACTTAAGGGAAACAAGCTCAATATATGCAGTACCGAAAACTGCAAATGGTTTGAAAAGAATCAAGACGTTCAAGATCAAAACTCTAAATTAAAAAGGTTTGCGATCCATCCCCTCCATGTATGAATGAAAAGAACGGGACTTAACATTCAGCCCTGATGTGGTTGATGAAGCACAAATAATACAATATATAAAATGTTTGTTTTAATGTTGCATTAAAGCAGAGGGGCGATCGTGGCTCAAGAGCTGGGAGTTCGCCTTGTGATCGGAAGGTTGCCGGTTTGAGCCCTGGGTCAGACAGTCTCGGTCGTTGTGTCCTTGGGCAAAACACTTCACCCATTGCCTACTGGTGGTGGTCAGAGGGCCCCCTGGCGCCAGTGTCCAGCAGCCTCGTCTGATTGGGACTAGTAAAGCGCTATACAAATACAGGCCATTTACCATTATACAGTAACATTTACTATGCAAGAATGCACAAAATGCTATATCATGATGAATAAGAGAAAGTAATTCAAAAGAAAAACTATGACTCATTGAAAGTGGGGGAGAGAGCTCAACAGGGGAAGTATAAACATAGTACATTAGAAAAAACAAAAAAAGCACTTACACTTCCTCAGACTTGATTTTAACCACTCGATTCCAACTGGGTCAGCTCTGCAAGATATGGGAGGAGAAATTATTATCTTCCTTTGTTACGTCGCAAATATTTCTAAACACTAAGATGCAGATAAAGTTAAATAAAGCAAAACACCAAATATAGAAAGATTGTTGTAATATTTGTGAAGTATCCCTTTGGTAAACACAACTAAGAGCAAATAGTCTGCAAAAGAAATCTTTGCATATCACAGAACTACTGAAAATCCTAATCCTAGTTAAGTTTGCATGTAGATGCGGAGGAGGACTTTTTCATGTTTTTAATCAGGGTGATTGCTGACCTGAGATTTTCTATTCTCCAGTGTGGATCATTCAACTCAGCAGCCAAAAGTTTCACTCCTGTGTCTCCAGGGTGATTGTAGGACAGGTCGACCTCTCTCAGATGGGAGGAGGGGTTGGAGTTCAGAGCTGAGGCCAGAGCAATACACCCTTCATGCGTGATCATGCAGCCTGTCAACCTGCAAACGCAAAACTACCATTAACTAGGATATATTAAATTTTTTGAGATAAGATATATTATACTTCTTTTATCCAGGGAGTTGGAAAAGGGTGTCACAGGAGCCAATGCATTAAACAAAATCTATTTAAAAAGGCCATAAATGAAGTAGAATAACACAATTAAATAAAAGGGATTTAAAATAGCCCAGTAAGGGAAAAACTTATAGAGTGAAAAGAACAAGCTGCAAAGTGAAATAAAATAAAATTTAAATAATACAAAAATGAAACAATACTGCAATCTGTGAATCTTAGAGAAAGAGCTCCATTGCCTGTGCAGCAACTGTTGCAGATTGAGGTTATTCTATATTATATTACATATTATCCACACCCATTTGGATTACCTCTGAATCTGCTGATGGGCAAACCCAAACAGTGTATTCAAACTGAAAAGAGCATTTCCCATCACTAGCAGACTTTCAGATGCTCCAGAATCACTGTGGACAAATACTGGGTGACCTAGTCACCTTTGACACTAAACCCCAAATTACCTTCTCTGATCAAACAATCGTCACCCAGCTGTACAATAAAGATAAATACACACACACTTTTTTGTTTCTTTTTCTTTTTCTTGTTTTTTTTTTAAATGTCATAATGCATATGACTAAACCAAGTACATTTTCTTAAATTGAGATTTTGGAAAACAAATATGAGGTGCAATGACAATGAAAAAAAGTAAATACATAAATGTTCATTTTTAAAGCAACTCAGTAAAACAGAAGATATTGAACTGACCTCAGAGTTTCCAGGGCGCAATGTGGACTTTCCAGACCTCTGGACAGTGCCTTGACTCCTTTGTCCTGCAGGTCATTGTTACTCAAGTCCAGCTCTCTGAGTCTACAGGATGGAGAGCTGAGAATTGTGGACAGAGCGTCACAACTTCGTTCTGTAAGGTTACAGCCACTTAGTCTGGAAAAACATAGGAGAATAAATAAACACATATTTAAAAGAAAGGGAGAAAAAAAATCTGGTTTTAACAACTATCACATGAACCAAAATACCCAAACCAATATCTGTACCCACTTACAGAGCTTTCTTAGAGGCCTTGACCACTGGTAGCAGCCTCAGAAGTGCAACCTCAGAAGCAGAGTATTTCTTCAGGTCAAACACATCT